CAGCATTTATTTTTTTCATAAAATAAAACGAAGTAAGACTGTTTATACACCTATGACATTTTTCTCTCGTTTTACCCATAACCAAGATATCGGGAGTTGAAAATCAGAAAACTACACAACTAGAAAACCTATTATTATATTTCTGGCCACCAACCGGATCTGGGGATTGTTCTTTTCAAATAACAGCTTAGTCGACAATTATAAGAAGAGGGACAGGGGAGGGTAGAAGAGAGGGAGGCAGAGGGGATAAAAGGGGAGAGGGAAAGGAAAGGTAAAGGGGAGGTGGATGTGAGAAAGTGAGAGAAGAGGGAAGGAGAGAGTAAAGGGAAGGTGGAGGTGGGAGAGAAGAGAGGGAGGAAAGAGGAAGAGTGGAGAGAGAGTGGAGCGAGAGGAGAGGTAGTGTCGAGGGAGATGAGAGGGAGATGGGGGAAGAGGGGAGGGAGAGGAGAGGGGGAGGGAAGAGGGAGAGGTTAGCGTGGCGCCAGACGGACTGGGCTGCTTGTCAGACGGAAGACGAAGGAAAATTAAGAACGATGGAGGAAAGAGGGAGGGGAAAATGACATGGAGATGGAGGGAGGGAAAACAAAGATGGAGTGACAAAGAAAGATAAGAAGAAAAACAACAACAACAACAACAACAACAACAACGACGATGACGACAACAAAATAGAAAATTAAAAGATGAAAGTAAAGAAGAATGATAAGAAAACAACAACAGCAAAACAAGAAGAAATGGAAGAAAGAGATGAAAGGAAAATTAAGAGTAACCGGAGGAGAAAGCACGTTGAGGAGGAGGAAAAAGTGGAAAATGAGAGAGAGAGAGAGAGAGAGAGAGAGAGAGAGAGAGACTACAGACAGAGGGGCAGACGAGAAACAACATGACAAGAGAATACACAGACACACAGACACACAGACAGATAGACACAGACAGACAGACAGACAATGGCAAACACTTAGGAAATTTACGAGTATTCAGTGAAATGACGATTTTCTGTTTTATGAGTCTAAGGGGAGGGAGAAGGGAAGGGAAGGAGGGACAGAAGAATGGAAGTTAGGGAGGGAGGGAAGGAGGTAGGGATGGAGGGAGGGAGGGAGAAAGGGAGAAAGGAAGGGGCGGAGGGAGAGAAGAAAGGAGGGAGAAAGGAAGAAAGGAAGGGAAGGAGGGAGAGAAGAAAGGAGGGAGAAAGGAAGAAAGGAAGGGAAGGAGGGAAAGGTGAAAGGGAAGGAGGGAAAGATGAAAGGAGGACGGGAGGAAGGGAGAAAGAGGAATGAGGGAGAGAGGAAGGGAGAGAGAAAGAGGAATGAGGGAGGGTTCTAATAGGTTTTCTTATATTCAACTCTCTATATCTCAGTTATGGGTAAAATGCACCAAAAATCTCATACCTAAAAATCGTTTTGTTTTTATCTAAACTTATCATTAGCGTCAAAACCAAACCAATATCAAATTATGTCCCGTACTCTATATTAACCATTATTTAACCCGAAAACACACATACAAAAAAATAAAATTAAAAAATTGAGAAAAGAAACATATTCACACACAATTATTACACAGAACAAATACATCAATTTAAGAGACGCGAAAAGTAATGAAAACAAAAAAATTGGGGAGGATTTTACGAGTCATGAATTTATAAAGTTTAAAGTTGGTATCCTGAATCTCTCTCTCTCTCTCTCTCTCTCTCTCTCTCTCTCCTTTTCTTCCTCTTTCTTTCTCTCACTTTCCCATGGGCAGCGATGGGAAAGAGGCGGTAATGGGAAACAAGTGGGCGGTGATGGGAAGTAGGTGTGCGGCGGTGATGGGAACTAAGTGGGCGGCGGTGATGGGAACTAAGTGGGCGGGGGTGATGGGAACTAAGTGGGTGGGGGTGATGGGAACTAAGTGGGCGGTGGTGATGGGAACTGAGTGGGCGGTGGTTATGGGAACTAAGTGGGTGGGGGTGATGGGAACTAAACGAGCGGGGCTGATGGGAACTAAACGAGCGGGGGTGATGGGAACTAAGTGGGCGGGGGTGATGGGAACTAAGTGGGCGTGAGAGGAACATACTGCTCGAGGTATAATAGTGGCTTGGACGCACCTCTTACCCTTCCCTTAGTGGCGTTCCGCTGGGTGGTTTATGGCGCACTGGTAACTATTATGGTTATGGTGGTGCCACTACGTTCGGCTCTGGCACTACATCATGGTCCTGGCACTGCATCATGGTCCTGGCACTGCATCACGGTTCTGGCACTGCATCATGGTCCTGACACTGCATCATGGTCCTGGCACTGCATCATGGTCCTGGCACTGCATCATGGTCCTGGTACTGCATCATGGTCCTGACACTGCATCATGGCCCTGGCACTACATCATGGTCCTGGCACTGCATCATGGTCCTGGCACTGCATCATGGTTCTGGCACTGCATCATGGTCCTGACACTGCATCATGGTCCTGGCACTGCATCATGGTCATCATGGTCCACTCATGGTCCTGACACTGCATCATGGCCCTGGCACTACATCATGGTCCTGGCACTGCATCACGGTTCTGGCACTGCATCATGGTCCTGACACTGCATCACGGTCCTGACACTGCACTGGCACTGCATCACGGTCCTGACACTGCATCATGGTCCTGGCACTGCATCATGGTCCTGGCACTGCATCATGGCACTGCATCATGGTCCTGCACTGCATCATGGCCCTGGTACTGCATCATGGTCCTGACACTGCATCATGGCCCTGGCACTACATCATGGTCCTGGCACTGCATCATGGTCCTGGCACTGCATCATGGCCCTGGCACTGCATCATGGTCCTGACACTGCATCATGGCCCTGGCTCTGCATCATGGTCCTGGCACTGCATCATGGCCCTGGCACTGCATCCTCACTGCATCATGGTCCTGGCACTGCATCATGGCCTTGGTACTGCATCATGGTCCTGACACTGCATCATGGCCCTGGTACTGCATCATGGTCCTGACACTGCATCATGGCCCTGGCACTACATCATGGTCCTGGCACTGCATCATGGTCCTGGCACTGCATCATGGCCCTGGTACTGCATCATGGTCCTGACACTGCATCATGGCCCTGGCACTGCATCATGGTCCTGGCACTGCATCATGGCCCTGGCACTGCATCATGGTCCTGACACTGCATCATGGCCCTGGCACTGCATCATGGTCCTGGCACTGCATCATGGCCTTGGTACTGCATAATGGTCCTGGCACTCCATCATGGCTCTGGCACTGCATCATGGCCCTGGCACTGCATCATGGCCTTGCCCCACATAGGAGTGACAGTGAATTTTGATCTTGCCTATAAAATTCCAGGCCACCATTAACATATTTTCTCGTACGTCGGAAAAACTATACAGCGTACACGTCTTAGGATTTTCCGTAAAATTTCATGTTGGTGCTTTTAGAGAGAGAGAGAGAGAGAGAGAGAGAGAGAGAGAGAGAGAGAGAGAGAGTCTGCAAGGACGGGCCAGCCAATATCATGTGTACAAACTTCCGTCCTTGTGAACTGCTCTTCCTCAACAAGCTAAACAACCATCACGCTTGTTACACCTTAAGCTTCGCTCCCTTGCCGGTGTTTGGCCCTATATAATGAGAACGGGCTGGTTTACCCGAGACCTGAGTCTACATTGGAGCTCTGAGGTAAAAAGTCGCCTTTGAGCTCTGAGGGAGGGAGGATCGACTAGATATTGGCTCTCCAGACTCAAAAAAACCAAGATATGAGTAAGCACTGCTGGTAATCGGAGTTTGACGATGACCCAATCAGGTCGTTGCCACGACTCAACGCTAGTAAAGAGTTTGCTTGGCTGACAACAGACAGACATTCAGGTCGTGCTGGAGGTGACCCCGAATGGTGTAACCGAGATTAAGAAGACCAGTTAAATCCATCATAATAAAATCCCCAATGTTACGGCCGTAATGACCACTGTAGTCGACGGCCAGTAAAAACTAAAGAAGTTTCTACCAGGGTGTCGCATCACTGGTGTGTTGTGGACCTGAGCAGCCAACTGAGTACTAAAACGTTATTTTCTAGTCTGGTATCACTCTCATTATGTCGGGCCTTACTCCTATGTGGTGTTGTGTTTAATGTTGAGTTTTGGCCCCAGTTCTATATCGGGTGTTGTACTGTTAGTTATATTTACCGAGTTAACATGTTAAGTTCGTAACCATTCTTGGGTCACGGTTTGTTAGTCTATAAATCATTGTTTAAGTTAATAATAATTACTTTTATGTTTTTCTTCTTTCTTGAGTCGCCTTCTCGGTGTTATGATAACTTACTCTGGTGCTGCCATGATAATCTCACCTAACCTGAATCGGCAGCCAACTAAATTGGTTGGTTTACTCTTTACTTCACAAGTCTAACGCTCAACTGAAAGCATTTTCGGAATAAGTCAGCAGAACTTGTTTGGTTTAATATACTTTGTTGGGGTATTTGGTATTATTTTTAATGAAATCAATCCCTTGACGATTCTGGCTTCAAAATAACTTCACAAATGACTCCAGGCCGTAACGCTTTACACGAGAAACACAAACTCTAAAACCTTGACACACAATAAACTACAAATTCTGAAAAACCTTGCAGGAAAAAAACCTATTCATAAAAGCTTGCATAAAAAAATTCCAAATGTTAAAAACCTTACCTAAAAAAGCCAGAAAAATTAAAAACCTCCAATCATAGGAAAAAATGGCATCTAAAATTGCATAAAAAAATAATATCCTCATCTTGTTGCGAAAAAAACTACAAAATCATAAAAAAACAAATATGAAACAAGATAGAATTACTAAAAAAAACAGAAATCTTAAAAAAAAATCACACAATTACATTCTTAAAACCCTTAACACAAACCCCCTAAAAATTCTTTAAAAAAAACTATACATGAACAAAAACCTTACAGAAAAAAACCTAAAATTCATAAAAGCCTCAACACCAAAGACGAAAAAAACCCAACATTCTAAAATCCTACAAAAGGACCCCTGAGGAAAATACCCCAACCCCAGGACCCCAGAGGAAAATACCCCAAACCCCAGGACCCCAGAGGAAAATACCCCAAACCCCACGACCCGAGGAAAATACCCCAAACCCCAGGACCCCAGAGGAAAATACCCCAAACCCCAGGAACCCAGAGGAAAATACCCCAAACCCCACGACCCGAGGAAAATACCCCAAACCCCAGGACCCCAGAGGAAAATACCCCAAACCCCAGGACCCGAGGAAAATACCCCAAACCCCAGGACCCCAGAGGAAAATACCCCAAACCCCAGGATCCCAGGGAAAATACCCCCAAACCCCAGGACCCCAGAGGAAAATACCCCAAACCCCAGGACCCCAGAGGAAAATACCCCAAACCCCAGGACCCCCCAAACCCCACGACCGAGGAAAATACCCCAAACCCCAGGACCCCAGAGGAAAATACCCAAACCCCAGGAACCCAGAGGAAAATACCCCAAACCCCCGAGGAAAATACCCCAAATCCCAGGACCCCAGAGGAAAATACCCAAACCCCAGGACCCGAGGAAAATACCCCAAACCCCAGGACCCCAGAGGAAAATACCCCAAACCCCAGGACCCCAGAGGAAAATACCCCAAACCCCCCCAATACCCCAAACCCCAGGACCCCAGAGGAAAATACCCCAAACCCCAGGAACCCAGAGGAAAATACCCCAAACCCCACGACCCGAGGAAAATACCCCAAACCCCAGGACCCCAGAGGAAAATACCCCAAACCCCAGGACCCCAGAGGAAAATACCCCAAACCCCAGGACCCTAGAGGAAGTAAACACGGGAATAATACACCAATAATTCGAGTCTTTCACCTGTCCATGTTTTAGTACGAACAGGTAAAGAGCCATTCTGGAATAAGGTCTCTTGTACGATGACCCCATAACCGTCAAGGACCACTGTGATGCCTCCTTCTGTAGGATCTATGGGTACAGGAGGAGGAGGAGGTAGTGTGGTGGAGAGGGGGAGGACGAACGAGGGGGGGGGGGAGAATAATAAAGGGTGGAAGGGAAGGAGGACACGGTGATGGTGAAGGAAAGAGCGAGTAAAGGGGAGGAGAGATGGGAAGGAGCAGGAGTGAGGGGGAATAGTGAGGAGAAGGAGGAATTGGGGGGGGGGATAAGAAGGAGGAAAGATGGTGAAGAAGGAGGAGGAGGGATTTTAGGGTTAATAAGAGGAGGTGTTAAGTTGGGTGTGTGTGTGTGTGAATGCTAATAGTTCTCCTGGATATTGTCTAGGTTAAGCGAGATATCAGAATCACCACCAACATTACCACCACTACAACCATCACCACCACAAGAACTACCACCACTACCAGCACCACTACAACAACTACTACCCCCACCATTACAACAACTACCACCACCAACACCACCACCACCACTACAACTACAACCATCTCCGCCACTACAACAACTACAACCACCACTACCACCACTACAACAACTACCACCATCAGGGCCACCACGAGCCTCAGGAAAAAAACCGAGAGATCAATCAGATTATGGCGTCACTGTAATGTTGTTACTGGAGTCTAGAGGCGCAGTAAAGGCTCCCCGTCTCCCCGCCCATGTTACTTTAAAGATGGCTTGCTAGTTTAAGAGGTAGAGGTAGGGGGGAGGGGTGAGGGAGTAGGGTGAGGGAGGGAGTAGGGAGTGAGAGAGGTGGCGAGAGAAAGGTAAGAAGTAAGGGAGAGGGTAAGGGAGAGTTTAGAGGCAAGGGGTGAGGGAGAGGTAAGAGGTAGGGGGTGAGGGAGAGGTTAGAGGTAGGTAGCGGTTAGAGGTTGGGGTGAGGGAGAGGTAAGAGGTAGGGGGTGAGGGAGAGGTAAGATGTAGGGGTGAGGGAGAGGTTAGAGGTAGGGGGGGTGAGGGAGAGGTAGGGGGTGAGGGAGAGGTAAGAGGTAGGGGTGAGGGAGAGGTTAGAGGTAAGGGGTGAGGGACCTGATTAAGAGAGAGGGAAGGGAGACGTTTAAGGGAAAGGTGGGAGGTGTGGGGGGGGGGGTTAGGGGACTAAGGGAGAACATGTGGCACCTATTGGCACCTCAAGAAGAACATATCAAGAACAAGGAGAACAGAACAGCGAGAATATGTGGCACCTGTTGGCACCTCAAGAAGAACACATCAAGAACAAGGAGAACAGGTCAGCGAGAATATGTGGCACCTGTTGCCACCTCAAGAAGAACATATCAAGAACAAGGAGAACAGAACAGCGAGAATATGTGGCACCTGTTGGCACCTCAAGAAGAACATATCAAGAACAAGGAGAACAGAACAGCGAGAATATGTGGCACCTGTTGCCACCTCAAGAAGAACATATCAAGAACAAGGAGAACAGGTCAGCGAGAATATGTGGCACCTGTTGGCACCTCAAGAAGAACATATCAAGAACAAGGAGAACAGAACAGCAAGAATATGTGGCACCTGTTGGCACCTCAAGAAGAACATATCAAGAACAAGGAGAACAGAACAGCGAGAATATGTGGCACCTGTTGCCACCTCAAGAAGAACATATCAAGAACAAGGAGAACAGAACAGCGAGAATATGTGGCACCTGTTGCCACCTCAAGAAGAACATATCAAGAACAAGGAGAACAGAACAGCGAGAATATGTGGCACCTGTTGCCACCTCAAGAAGAACATATCAAGAACAGGGGGAACAGAACAGCAAGAATATGTGGCACCTGTTGCCACCTCAAGAAGAACATATCAAGAACAAGGAGAACAGAACAGCGAGAATATGTGGCACCTGTTGCCACCTCAAGAAGAACATATCAAGAACAAGGAGAACAGAACAGCGAGAATATGTGGCACCTGTTGCCACCTCAAGAAGAACATATCAAGAACAGGGGGAACAGAACAGCAAGAATATGTGGCACCTGTTGGCGAACCTTCAAGAGTAGAACATAAACTGAGGTACAAACGACTCCGCCTCACGCCCTCGCCTGCGCCTCCTTCCCGCCCTAATCCCTGAGCCCCACACGTCTTGCCGGGTACTGTGCAGACAAGAGCCTTCTGCTGCGTGTGCTGGTGGCTCCCTACACGTCAGGAAGGTCTTCTGTGTGACGTTAACAGTCCTAAACACGTCAGGGATCTCTTCGTCAGGTAAATATGGCCCTTAAATACGTCAGGGACCTCTTCGTCAGGTAAATATGGCCCTTAAATACGTCAGGGACCTCTTTGTATGGTTAATATGGCCCTTAAATACGTCAGGGACCTCTTTGTAAGGATAATATGGCCCTTAATTACGGCAAGGACCTCTTTGTAAGATTAATATGGCCCTTAAATACGCCAAGGACCTCTTTGTTACGTTAATGGGGGCTTTAAGGACCCTGTTAAAGTCACGTGGAGGACCCTGACGTGTTTACACAAGTTAGGGTCCCAGGGCTTATTACCAATAGACCCATTAAATTCCCGGGGCCCTAGTATGGCCACAAATCATTTGGTATATCTAGAATGTACTGTATATAGCGGGGCCACAGAGAGAAGCGATGATGTTGCATATAACTGTTGACGTCTAATTCTAAATGATGACGTCATGTATATAATGACGTCATACATGTAATCAGCTGTCGCGTATAACTGATGATGTCGAACTATACTTTATGACGTCACACATATAAACAATGATGACACATGCAAACAAATTACATCATCGAAGCAGAAAATGACCCTCGTGTTCGTAAACTATGCCGTAACACATGTAAACAATAACAATATGGACGAAAACAATGACGCAACGCAAGTAATCAGTGACATCATAGACGCAGATAGTGACGTCAAACAACAAAAACTTAAAGCTCAGACAATGACGCAACGCAACCAGGACGTAAACATAGCCGCCAGGGATGCAGACAATCACATGGGAGAAGCAGACAGTAACAAACAAGCCTGCAGACAACGAAGCGTAAATCAGGGGAGGGGGAGGAAGGATGATAAAGAGGAGGGAGGAGAGAGAGAGGGAGGGTGAATATATCTTCACCTGCAGCGTGTAATTAAAAAGAAGAAATGTATGATTTATGGGCGAGCTGTGAGGAGCTTATGATGGCCCTCTGTCTCTATTATTGTTCTCTCTCTCTCTCTCTCTCTCTCTCTCTCTCTCTCTCTCTCTCTCTCTCTCTCTCTCTCTTATTGTCTTTGAAAAGTTTATATTATTATTATCATCATCAGTCATTAAGTGAAATCATAATTATCGCCCAACTCTCAACACAATTAAAGAATTTATCACTATTTTCTCGTATCGTATTAAGTCAGAAAAATAACACGTATCATAAAAAAAACCTAAAGGTACAATAAAAATAAAATCACGTAAAACTTCCCGAGTCTCTGATTCCGGTGTTCTGACGGAGCCCAAAGAATTATCGTAACGACATCATTGCCAATCAGAAGTTCTACCAACAACATGATAATCCAATTCCCTAACTTGCTGGTGCCTATAAGGGACGTGGTAACACTGTCTTTCTCAGCTTGGTATCTCCTTAATGATGGTCTTTGTCTCTCTGTCTGTCTGTTTGTCTGTCTGTCTCTCTGATTTCTGTCTTTGAGATAATGAAATATGTGAAATGACAATACTTAATACATCTAATACACATAACACCTGGTTTACCTGACACACCTGATCAATACACACGACACACCTGATCAATACACACGACACACCTGATCAATACACACGACACACCTGATCAATACACACGACACACCTGCCCAACGAGATATAAGTAAATACATTCATAATTATATTCTATACCATAAATTTTACGTTAATTTTTATCACCTGTTTCACTATACAGGAGATTTATATACCCATTCACTCTCTACCATGGCATGTACTGTATACTCGTAACTATATAAGGGTATAAGTATACAAGTGTATAAGTGTATAACTATATAAATTCATAACTATATAAGTATGTGTATAATTATATAACACTATACAGTATATTAGTCACACTTGGGCCATAATAAATTTCCTCTTCACCCCAAGATCTTCTTCTCCTCCTTCACTCCTCCTCCGACCTCCTTCCGTCTTTCCGTCCGTCCGTCACCAATTAATCTAATCACTCCTTCCTGGTGACGAATATCCGGGTCGAGTCCACTGGCAGTACACCAGCAGACTCATTAAGGTCGGAACGTTCAGACCAAGGACATCCGACGCTCGCCCCTATCGCAGTGTGTGGCTTAGCACTACGTACCCCCCTTGACTAATGATCTCTGAAATTGATTGCTTAAAAAGAAAGGAGATTGATAAAGGACGTTGTTGAGGAAGTTTGTCAAGAGAGTCCTTCAGTCTTGTCCTGATGGAGGAAAATGGTATCCTGCACAATATCCTACGGCAGAGGATGACACGTGACGCAACTACGCCATCCTATTTTTCCCCTTTTAATAGAGGAAACATGACGTCACCAATGTGTATGTGGGGTTGATACATGACGTCACCAATGTGTACAACGTCACTAAATTCTATGACGTTACAGGTCAGCTTACTAAACACCATACTCTTACTTTTGACCCAAACATGACCTCCTCCCTCCACAACTTGACCACCACATTCCCCCTCCAACCTCCACCTCCCATAAGCATTCCTCCCAGCATAACCAACTTCTTCACCCTCTTCTAACCTCCCCTCCCACCTCCTCTAACCTTCCACCAACCTCCCCTCCCTCCCATAAACTTTCCTACCAACATAACCTCCTTCTCCTCCCTCCTCTAACCTCCCCTCCCCCCACCTCCTCAAACCTTCTTCCCAACCTCCCTCCCCCCTCCTCTAACCTCCCCTCCCCCCACCTCCTCTAACCTTCTTCCCAACCTCCTCTAACCTCCTCTCCTTCCCC